TCTAAAGTTTAAACCTTTTTTTTTTTCTTCATGGCCCCTACTGTGGCTTAGTTAGCTTATGCTATAACTTTAATGAACTTCAACAAACTATCGACGTAAATAAAGATTTTATGGCTCACTCTTCATCCCCATACCTTTCGAATTGAAACCTCTGTTATATGTCAAATTTTCATTAATGCTCATCGATATCTTTTCGTTCGTTTTGTTCCCTAACTTCCATCGATATTATTAGCTTGCATTTTTTATTCGTTCGTTGTTCGTATATTGAAACGTGCCTTTCGCGCACGTTAATCTGCCGAGCCTAACATCTTTTTCATCTATGAGTGAGTTTTAAGTCTTGTTAGCATAGTTATTATCATCACAATACACATCTTTTTGTTCCATCAATGGCTCCTAAATCTGGAAAGGCTAAAACCCATAAAGCCAAAGGAGATAAGAAGAAGAAAGAAGAGAAAGGTATGATGATATCTTATCCATATGTATACCTCTGTTTTCACATTTTCTTGAATTTTCTTTAATACTATTTTTGTTTATTAAATATTTATTAATTTCCTTTTAGTATCTTCAATAACCAACCATCTTATTATTTTCATCAAAAAAAAAATGTTGTTAATTTTAGTATTGGGAAAGTATTTAATCCAAGGAAATAAACAGCTCGCTAAAGTTGCCGCTATTTGAGAAAAAACTTTTTTTGGCAGCGTGCCGCTATTTGTATTCATGTGCAATTTAGCCGCTAAATTCCGCTAAATCTCTGCTATAGCTCCGCTATAGCTACAGTGCCATAAACATTTTAGCCCGCTATTTAAAACCTTGATTTAATCTATTTCTTACTTCTTTAATTTTATTAAAAATCATCAAAAGAAAAAAAAAATGATAATAATGAGATACATACATACATATTTTGCAGTTCAATTGGGCCCTTTTGTTGTTTTTCCTTGTTTGTTTCCACAATGAAACCAACAAATAAAATATGAAAGCTCACAAATTCAAGAAAATTAATTTATTTATCTTTTATTTATTTTGCAGTTCTACCCACTGTAATAGAGATAACTGTAGAAACACCAGATGACTCACAACTCACTCTTAAGGTATGTTTTTTTTTTTTTTTT